TGAGAAGCAGTCTTCGGATGATATACCTCACACTCAATGAACTCGTTAAGGCACTGAGTTCTCGGACCTCTAACTCCCAGAAGATGGCTCATGAAGTCTCCTTTGGCCTAATGCTCTCCTCAGCAGCCTTTCTCTCTCCTTCAACCCTTTATGTAGCCATAAATAATAAACTAAAATATTAATGGCAGTAATTTGACAAATATTCCACTTAAGTCAGACTGCAAAGCACTTAAGATCGATCGTAGCAACTTTTCCCACAGGGATCTATGCTCAGGGTACTTTATGCCCAGAGAAATTTGAGATTTCAGACTCAAAGCATTTATGACTTGGAGTCCAAAGGTTATTTATTTATAGTTGATTTTTCTCAGATCTTTTGATAAAGTAGGGGAGTGAGGAACTCAGCCTTTCTTTGGCTGAATTAAAACCTAAAAGTTAAAAAAAAAACCTGCTAAGTGATGGAATATGAGCTTTTATGAACTCTGACTCTTGAGCACAGCCAGCCTTCCCCAGGAAAGTATGCTTCAGTGCTTCCTTCCATTGTACATCTTAATATTTCATTCAGTTGGGCCATGATTACTATTTCTATATTTTTGTTCTTTCCTCTTGTTTTCCAGAGGTAAGGAATGATATTGGACTCATTGCCTTTGTTTCTTGGCTACAGTTTCAAAATGAAGACTCGGAAGCAGTTTAAATTTTCATTTTCTTTTTCCTTTTCTTTAAGAGATGGGATTTCACCATCTTGATCAGGCTGGTGTCGAACTCTCGGCCTCCCAAAGTGCTTTGATTACAGGCGTGAGCCACTGTGCCCGGCCGCAGTGTAAATTTTCATCTAGTTTTTGCCTCCTATTCTGAACTCACTGCTTCTCTATGAACCCTCTTGATAACATCAGTACTTAGAGATACCCAATAGGCTTTTCCTAAGTCACATATAGATGGCTTTGAAGAAGCATGGTGAAACTTTGTATGATTCATATAGGTTGATTTTCAGCAGGGCTAGCATGCTTCATAGAAGCCAGTTTCCTTGAAAGGTATTGTCTGGCCTCTGTATCAGCTTTTTATCACTCATAAAGCATGATATATATTCCATTATTTCCCAGCAGCCCTGGAGAGCAACTTAGCCTTGGTTCCTTTCACAGGTGATGGAGCAGAGATTACGTAAAAGATACGTACTTAATTAAGAGGTCTTGAGCAAGTTAGAGAAAAATAAATGTAAAATTGTGTGCATCTTGTTTGCTAGCCCCTAAAACAAAGTAGAATCATTGAGTTACAGGTAGCTAGTTGATAAGGCAATCAAGGGACGGGCGCGGTGGCTCAAGCCTGTAATCCCAGCACTTTGGGAGGCCGAGGCGGGTGGATCACGAGGGCAAGAGATCGAGACCATCCTGGTCAACATGGTGAAACCCCGTCTCTACTAAAACTACAAAAAATTAGCTGGGCATGGTGGCGCGTGCCTGTAATCCCAGCTACTCAGGAG